CTGTATGAACGTGATTTTCATTAATATTGAATATTGCTGTTGCCAAATGTTAACTTCTGTTGGTCCTCCAACAGGAAATCTAAACCACCCAGTCTGACAGATGGTTTGCATTTAAACGCCAATTATTAGTTGATGGAGATCCTTCTTTCCATCGCATATCTCATATGTTTTTCAACATAAAAAACACAGAATTAGTGTTTTTTTTATGGTTGTGAGCTTTCCTGTTATTCTGATTCTCCTTGAACCATAAAATGTTGAGGGTTTATGGTATTACAGGTTAAAATGGAATTGTAAGCTGTTTAGTACAATGACGATTTCATCCTCCTCTATTTACCTACATTACGGTTACCAAGCACCAATGGATTAACCATACATTGACATAATAAAATATGGAGCTTCGAGTGGCAAGTAATGACGTGCTGGGAGCCTGGGATACTAATTTCAAGCATGGCAAAACAACACTGCAGGTAAGATCACAGTTGTAATTGTTGTAAATCACTATTTTGTTTGCATTTTGTTGTTGAAACATGGTTCTCAGGTCCTATAGAGTTTTTATAGAGATCCAAGTTGGGGGGGTTGGGGGGGGTCGCGCCTGGTCCCTTTTTTTTTAAATTTTTTTTTTTATTTTTTTTATTAGGTTGCAATATACCTTTTACCTCTATCGGACTAATGTACTTGTTTCCCTTTAAAAGCAATAAAAAAAGTTGTTCACAAAAAACATTTGCTCCAAATATTGAGGTTGGTTATCGTTTGATACAATACAGTGATGTATATTTTACACTTTACACAGATTACTGACTGACTTTCTGTTCTTTTAACAATTCCCGTAGCAGTCGGGTGCCTTAATAAAGTGGGATCTCGCTCTTCAGTGCGACGGCGCCGCTGGTGTAGTGGTATCATGCAAGATTCCCATTCTTGCGACCCGGGTTCGATTCCCGGGCGGCGCACGTGTTTTGCACCGGTAACTCTAAATTAACACGACAACGTTACAGTGTAGCACCGATAGTTGATAAAACTGTAGCGAGTATGATTATAATTAATTTTAATCAACTCCGTTGCAGGTTACCTTCCAGTGTCTGGCTGGGTTACATGCATTTCCCAGATGTGTCCAGCTGTAATTTACTCTAACGTTTTTACACGTTGGTCGATAAAGCTAAGACCACGAATAGGCTAATGATACATATTATTCTGCACAGTTGTGTAAAGCCACAAAACTCGCTGTATTTTGCAGCGTACGCTTTACAGATGTGGAGGCACATCTCTGTGTGTGGGAGAAAGAGCGCTTGACTCTGGCTTCATTTCAGCGCGCAGGTTGACGCTGCTGACGCCGCTCCTCCGCCATCTTCAACTTCCTATTGTTTGCATCAGACTGAGGCTGTCTGCGGTGAGTGTGAGAGCAGAGTCGGCCACCGATTTATCATTAATTAGTAGATATAGCCTCTACGTTCGCGGTCGCTCGAGTTCAGCACAAACCATTTGTATGTCATTGGATTAAAGAGCTCTCAGGACGCGACCACTAAACCTTGACGATGGAGGACGATCAACCCAGAACCTTGTGAGTAACAGCGGCCCTGTCTATGTCCTGGATTGGAAAGGCTCCGTGTAACTACGGCGCGTCCGAAATGTTTCCACGTTGTTGTTTCAATTAAAAACTACAAAACACTGTAATTTAGCTACAGATGGAAATTTCACTTGCGTTGTCATTCCATAGCGACAATAGCGTCGTTTCCAAATATGATAAGACACATAGCATTTCCACCGTGAGCGTTAAGTTCTGTTTGATTTAGTCGTATAAATAGACGGAACCGTAACTCGCCTGAAAATGAAACTGCAGGGCTAGCTAATGCTAGTTATCGTTAGCTGAAGATGCAAACGCAGCTAGCCCGTCACTTCTTCTAAAATGCACACGTTTTTATTGAGTGGTCGCTTTATTCTCAAAAATAGTCTCATTTTATCATCAACATATAGGCGTTAGCTATATCACTGCGGCAGGGATGTGATTGTATAAAGTGTCGTTAACGTTAGTTACCAAACCAGTTAGCATGAGGCCCTTTGAGCCGGCTAGCGTTATCTTTAGCTAGCTGGCAGACAAGCCACGTCAACGCGCGGAGAGACGGTCCGGGACAGCTCCAGTAAGGGGCTGACCATACTCGAGTTGTTTTCACAAAATTGAGACCTTCCACAATAGTATTTAGTCCGCTATCATTGTTGATTTTAGGTGAATATAAGGAATTGTTGTGGGTGGTAGCTAGCCGGTTAACTAGCCTTTGTTTGCATGCTACTTCCTGTTTGACAAAGACTCAATCCCTCCATCTCTCTACTTGTTTGCAGGTATGTGGGGAATTTGTCCAGGGACGTCACCGAGCCCCTCATTCTGCAGGTCTTCACACAGATAGGACCCTGCAAGAGCTGTAAAATGATAGTTGATGTAAGTGTTCTCCCCTCTGCTATATATTGTGTCACACCTGAATGGTGCTGCTGCTGTTTAAAGTCACAATCGACATATGGGCTTCATATTCATTTTCCTCTCCCAAGTCTATTATATCAGGCCTGACACCCCAAACTACAGTAGGTGGTCATCTGCAGTGATTGTCACCTTTGCTGTGGACTTAATATCAGTCTTGTTTTCCCGTTGACAGACGGCTGGAAATGATCCGTACTGCTTTGTGGAGTTCTATGACCACAGGCATGCTGCTGCCTCATTGGCAGCCATGAATGGAAGGAAAATAATGGGTAAGGTAAGCTATCGTGTCTACAGGGTGAGTTGGGAAGGGTGGGCTTCCTGTGTGGGGGATTTGTGTGTGCCTTCTAAAAACATCTCCAACAAAATGTAATAGTTGGCATTTATATTCCATTAAATAGATAGGGGTTTCCAACTGGGAAGCTGCTGGTCCAGATCAGATCTTGAACATTTTAAGAACGTTACTACTGCCAGGAAGTCATGTGGTTTGATAAAATTGGTTTCATTGCAGCCTCTTAAACCTAATGGTCCTGCAATATATAAGCTGTAGTGTTAGGTGTGGATGAGTGTTGTCATGTTTCAGGGAAATTTAGGTTCGAGGAGAAGAAATAAACAATAGAAATATAATTTTGGGGTCCACTGAACGAGCCGTGATTAGCTGTACTGTCAAAATAATTTTCTAGATCATGTAAGCTACATTGGAAAGATAGTAAAACAAAAAGTCTTGGAGAAGCTGGACAAAGTCAGGCATCTGCATTTGTTGTTATTGGCTCATGCCTGCCATTGTAATACACATCATAACGAGGTTGTTCTCTCCTTTTTGACAAAAAAAAAATCCACTTATAAAGACCAGTTGCAGTTTAATTTATGTTGAGTTTAGATTTTAAGATTTGATTAAAGATTATTATTTTCTTGCACTGTCACTGGACATACACAGGACAGTGAGTGATAAGGTACCATATCACATTCAATTTAAAGTCTCTTTTAAAGTTTACTTTTAATGTTTAAGTAGTTTTAAGGCAACCTTTAAATCAAACACCCTTGTAGTGGAGATTACCAGTTTTCACTGTAAATGATATAAACATACCCCACCTGGCCTGTTCTTTCTCTGCCCCTCTCTGCAGGAGGTTAAAGTCAACTGGGCCACGACACCAACCAGCCAGAAAAAAGACACAAGTAGTAAGTACAAGCACTTGACAGTGGAGATGTGTACTCATATGACATTAATACAATATCTGTTGTCTGAAATGTCTGTTTCATAAGCACAGAAAGTTTGATGGGTTGGAAAGATTGAAAATCACATTAAACGATTATCATTGCATATATGCTCATATATATTTTATGTAGTCATTTCATTTACATGTCTGGAATGACACTCCTTTTGTCCTCCACCCATTAACAAAGTGATAAAAATCAGCAATTCTACGCAGGAAGTCGCCATCTTGAAAAAGTATAAAAGCTTGAAATGGAGTGTGCATTGTACAGTTTGGCATTTGTGAACTGTGTTTTTTTTCCCTTCCTATAGATCATTTTCACGTCTTCGTTGGAGACCTCAGCCCAGAAATAACTACAGAAGACGTCAAAGCTGCCTTTGGTCCATTTGGCAGGATATCGTAAGTATCAAGAGTTAGTGACGAAGATGATTAGATCAAAGATGGACAGGAGGAAATGAATGGAAAGTGTTATCTCCTGCCCCACGTCATATTAATAAAACTTGCCAAGAAAACAAATAGTAGAAATCTTGGGTAGGTATATTGATAGAGGCATGGCCCAGGAAATGGGACATCATTTAATTTTTAAAAAGACCAAACCCTTTTATTCTTTTACAATTTAAATACCTTCAAGCATTGAGTCGTCGTGCAGCATGTTTTTAACGTACTCCTCTTGATGTGTTTGTCCACAGAGATGCTCGTGTTGTGAAAGATATGGCTACAGGGAAATCTAAAGGCTATGGATTTGTGTCTTTCTTCAACAAATGGGTTAGTACAGAGATAATGAGGAGATGACTCACCAAATCATTCATCTCAGTGCACACATCATGTTAATTCTGCTGTTATTGGTGGGCTTCTTGGTAGTATTATCATTT